ATATTTGGTATGACTATGGCCATATTAGGAGTATTGTGTTACAATAAGGCTAAGTATGATCAAAGAATAGAAAAACAGAAGAAGACAATTCTTCCGAAATATTATGAAACAATTCAAAATGGTAATAGCAGTTCCTTCTTGGTTAATGGATTTGCCAGCAAACACCAATCATTTGCAGTCTAGTCTCAATTGATAGTTTTATTTTGACAAGTTCATATGAGTTTTTACATCAGAAAAAAGTCTAATCCTTTTTTCTGTAAGTGTAAATTAATTTTCATAAGTTACAATATTATGCATTACATAATATAAATTATTACAATTATGGTAGAAGAAATTTTTATTTTCTTCCATCATGATTACAATGGTTGGATATAATCAGTCAAATTCAAAAAAGAAACTCGTACGATTAATTACTTCTAATATTATATATATATATACACATATATATATATACATACACATATGTGTATGCACTTATTCACATGTACATGCGAATGGAAAGGAGGTAAAAATTATTTTGTCTCAAAAAATATTTGAATATCTAAATATGATATTAAAATAAAACGTTTTCAAAAAGATTTTGTTTAAAAAGTTCTGAATAAAATTTTAAATAAGTCCAATAAATATTTCATGACATACATTTTTATGACATATTTTAAAAATATAACATCAAATTTTTCTTAAAATAAAATTATAATACTTTTTTTGTATAATTTGAGCAGTTTTCTTCTTTTTTTATATATTAGAAATTATTGAAGTATTATAAAAGTTCCTCAGATAATAATAGTAGTTTATAAATATTTTCTCTCTCTCTCTCTCTCTCTCTAATATATCTTTATATAAAATATAATAAAATATCTTGTAAAGTATTTATGAAAAATCTATTGAACTTTTATATGCTTAACTAAGGTAAAACTTAAGAGAGAAAATTACTTTATGTACAAATAATATTATGATTTATATTAAGAAATATCAATATTTAAAAAAAGCGTGATGTAAAAATTTTGTTGCGTGTGTGCATTAGAATTCCTTCATAAAGAACATGTAAAATATATAAACATGCATTTAAAATAATCCTTTTTTTTATTGCTTTGTTTTGTATATACAGGGTGTTTTATTTTAAATAATATAGTCGATTATCTCATGAATCGATGATTTTATTAAAAAATTTTTCGAACGAAAGTTGCACTAAAAATTCATTTTTACGTAAAAATGAAAATAAGAGGTACAACCTCCAATGGCCTTTATCTTGACAAATGTTATTCAGGACATGATCCTGAATAACATTCAAGAGGTTTTAGCCGTCGGTCGGACACCTTGTGTAACGTATTTGAGTTGATCTTTATATTTTTTCTTCATTATATAAGCGCGCGCGTATGTAAATATATATATATATATCTTTGTATAAATATTTCAGAAATAAGTAATATACATTTGTTTAATGTTTAACAATAAAAAAAAATGTTACAATTATTGTTTTTTAAATAATTACAGTATTCTGTATTTTCGTATCCTGCTTATTGGAGTGTATTTCAATTGTACACGAGCTAATTGCGCACAAACCAATCACGCTGGAAAAAAAAACACAGGAATCGCTATGATTAAAGTGGGCAATTGTTATAATATGCAAGTGAACTATTCCCTGCTTATTATGGTAAACTCTGTTTAGTTTCTCAATTCTGAAGATAAATCTGCTAATAAAATGTAATTTTAGCCAATTGCTAAAATATTTAAAATAAATTGCTTAACCTACGTATGTACTTGACCGAACAAGTACACTGGTTGAAAGAATTACTATTTCAAAACGTTTATTTCGTATGAATAGTTTTGAAGTGCAATTGAAAAGGTTTGTGAGTAATTCAGTTAATTGCAATTAATCATTTTTACACCACGTATTTAGCAAAAAAAATTAACTGCAGGTCAATTAAATAACATTCTTATAAGGAATCGTTTGTATTTCGTATGAAGAGTAATGAGCTTTCTACAATAAGTTGTTACCTATGTTTTAAATCTTAAGTTGTAAGAAATTAACCAATTGCAATCGAATGTGAGAGAGAAGAATAATGATTAATCTTGTTTCTTGCAACTGTACGGTAGATGTGTGCAGGCACAGTTTTACCAGTTACGACACACAACTTTTTTTGATGTCATGAGTTTCTAATGCGCATGCGTCGGTTTGTACTACAGATAAGATGTCTGCGCTCTTATATAAGTAACTTAACCTAATTGAGATTCCGTTTTTGACCGCCAAGAGAGTTATTACGTAATTGTATGACCTGTATGGCTGTATATTGTGTGCGAATTTTCCAAGTGAAATTTATAATAATGAAAAGAGGTGGATTCTCTTGTACAGGTTGTCAAAATATTTCTGGACGAGTACCTGGACTGAGTTTTTTTAGTTTTCCGCGTTGTTCAGAAAGGTAAAAGCAATAATAAATGTTTTATTAGCAACATTAATTAATAATGTGGCTCAATCCGAATAAACAAAACAATAATATAATAGAAGGGCTACAGGCCAAATAAGATCATTTGATATTCAATTGTATATTCATTTTTTAAATTGTTATCCCTGACAAAAGTAATTAAATATTACAGTTATTATGTATATAGTTATTAATTAATATAACTATCTAACTATTATAATTAAAAGATAATACTATTAATGTTAATAAGCTATATAATGTTTATTAGTACTATAATTAAATAAAACAGCGAAGACTCACTTGTACGCATGTAAAAGAAAATAATGTAAGTGTTAACGTTGATATTTATAATAACCTAATAATAATATGAAAATTTAATATATACTTCAATGATAATAAATTTTATTATGACAGATGAGTAGTATGTTACGTTATTATAAGAATGTCTTCCAGCAAGACAGTTGACATAGTATAAAACAGTGAATTATTTTATACTTAATATTAAACAAAAACGAAATAATTCATTGTATTACACTATGTAACCTGTTTCTTTTGCTTGAAAACACCTATAATAATCAACTTTGTAATTTATCTTTATATCAGAAACATTCAAATTTAAGCGCGTGTACTTTTCTCAAAATGGCGACAGATCATGTGACTTGGGATCACCTACATCAAAGGTGCCGATGCTTAGTGTCGTAACTGGTTAAACTGTGGTGCAGGCCATATATGTAATACTCCTATATTGCCAATTAAAAGCGAAAACACCACGATGCAGACGAATATCTACCTCTCACTTAGTGTACAGCGCATGCGCACCACACTCGAGTACATTGTGGAAGTGAAAGATCCGATATTCTTTATCTCGCTATCTTTGCACATCCCCCACTCCCAAAAAAGGTGCGTTAGCAATATAGGAGTATTACATATATGATGCAGGGCACCTATCATGGACTACGTTTACACGGTTCGATTTATACGCCGAAGTTATAACATCGATGTTACGAAATTGACCAATCACAGTCATTCCATTCTTCAGAAGAATAATTATGATTGATTAGTTCCATAACATGTTATACTTCGGCGTAAATCAGGCCGTGTAAACGTAGTCATGGAAAAAAATCGGAATAGATTCCGATCGGAATTATTCAATTATTCCCTAGATTTCTATTGGGTTTTCTAAGAACGGAATAATTCTGATTGGAATTCATTCCGACATGTTCCATAATAAGTACCCTGGCCACCTAATGCGAGGTCTACAATAAAAGTCGCAGCGGCCGTAGGGTCTTAAGTCGTAGAAAATTAACCAATCACAGTCGAATACAAGAAGAACTTGATTATGGCCTAGTTTCCATCGAGGGTTCGAACCGGGTCAGAATGTAAAAACCAACCAACCTATTGGTTGACGTTACACGTCTAATAGAAGAGCACAAAACGCCATTAATCCAACCTAGGTTAATGCAAACCCGACCGGGCCGAAAACGCTATAAGTTTCCATCGAGGGTTGGAATCGGGTTAGAGTTGGGTCAGAGTCGAGTCTAGAGACCCTATAATAAGAGTCTGACCATAAGAAATCTAATTTTGGAGTGTTTTAATTGGTCCACCATTTTTTCTCTAATCTAAGGGGGGGTTAGCTTCAGCACAAGCGTATAAGGTTGAAATTGCGTTCGGCGTGATGCTTTCAGCGTTTTCCTTGTTTGGCATTTAAGAACAATAAAGATACAGAATGATATTTATAATTGCTTAAAGCACATAAGTATCAAAACCGAATACATAGACATACTAACCTCAGAAACATTGATGTAACATATTGATTCAAATAATCGATTCATATCGATTCACAGCCACGAAATACTGCGATGTATCACGATATTACTACGTCATTAGAGAAAAAATGGCGGACCAATTGCAATACTTCAAATCGAGATCTGATAAAACATACGTGATAGCCAGACTCTTATTATAGGCTACGTTTACACCGTGCGTTTAGTCTGCGACCTATACGATAGATATCTTTGTTTAACCTACAAGATAACAAGGACATCTATTGTATAGGCCGCGGCCTAAATGTACGGTGTAAACGTAGCCAAATACTCTGATACCTGACCCGACCTGTTGCAAGTCAGGCCGGATATTTTAGCACTCTCACCTCAAATAGGTCGTCTGCTTTCTTGATGTAAACGACCAATTATAGTCAAATTCGAGGAGACTAATCGACTATGGCTGCGTTCAGCAGAGAAAGCAGCTTTGCAACTGTTGTAAAATTCTTCAATACGATTGGTTCTTGCTTTTGATTCCTTACAGATCTAAACGTATAAACCAATTATATTGAAGAATTTTACAACAGTTGCAAAGCTGCTTTCTCTGCTGAACGCAGTCTATGATTCGTCCATTTCTTATGGCTTAAAGCTTAACACTCTATTGTAGATCCGGGGTAATTGGTCAATTTCTTAGAACACATTGTGGATCCGGACTTACGTATTTCCATCATGGGTTCAACTTTCTGATTCCACCATGGTTCGGTCTTGTCTCTATTCTTCATTCATGGTTTACTATTCAATCAAAAAATGTTGAATATTTGTGCAGAGACAAATACATAGTTCGGATATTATTCAATATTCGTTTTGTAATAATTATCTGTGCAGTACGATACAAGTGCTTGTACGAGTGGGGAAATATTTGAAGACTTTTCTCATCGTTTTCCCTGTGTGTACTGTGTAGGCATCAGTATGCATGTAGAACGTAGAGTTTATATATTTAGTAATTATACAGTATAATACTCCGCAACGCTTAAAAATTAATAAAATTGGGCTTATTCAATGCGTTTTTGCATAAAGCGAAAGAATCTAGCAGAAAAAGGCGTCACTCTGCCCCGCGAGCCGAGGTATTAATCGTTAAGATTGACGACTATTTAGGTTAGAAAATCTGCCATGATAGCATAGAGGAACATGAGAAGCTGGAATAAATACTTTCTGCTTTAATTACATATATTCTCTGCTTTATAAACACAAATTATTTGCTTTAAAAACACTTTATTTTCTCATGTAATTTTTGTTTTTACAGCAGGGAATTTGTTTTTAAAACAGAATTTATATTTTAAAGTACAAAATTGTGTTTTTAAAGTAGACAGATACCTAAAATAGTGAGAAATAACTAAAATACATGCGCATGTAGCTATAAAACATGAAAATACGACCGCAACGCTTGCTCACATCGTAGTGTTGCGTGGCTGTGGAAGTTTTCCTAACCTGAATGACTGTGAATTTTAACATTTAATATCTCGATTTTCGGGACAGAGCAACGCTTATTTCTGCCAGATTCTTTCGTTTCATGCAAAAACGCGTCAAATAAGTCTAATTTTATTGATCTATGAGTTGCGAGATACTAAACTGTATAATTACCATGTATTTTATATATATATCCTGATAGCAAAATGTTAAAAATTTGAGGCCAAATTAGCAGCAAACTCAATTAGATTTTGACTACAAAACCATAGCTATTTGTGTCTGCATTTGGCTATGTTTTTGTCAACAAAGTCTGCTGATAAAAAGTGAGCAGAGTTGTTGATATAAGTTGTTTTCCATTTAAGCCTGATTTATAATGGCTGTAACCGTTAACTTATGCCGGTGCCAGTAAAGCTCAACCATGGGATTTCAATGCTTTCGTTCATACTAACTTGCTGTATTAGTATGAACGAAATCCTATAGTTGAACTTTACCGGCACTGGCATAAGTTAACGGTTACGGCCATTATAAATCAGGCTTTACACATAAGTGAAACTGAGTCTGAAGTGAGCTGAGTATTTTATACTCACATTAATGATGTCATTACTTGCTTACTTTGATAAAAAGATATCACATGTCAACACATATCCTCATTTTGAAGTGAGTTTACGAGACTCACCATACGGTCTCGATCTTGTATAGATTATAGGTAAAAACTCAGTTGAATCTCACGTGTCAAAATGCAAAAGGAATGCACATTCAACTGAGTTACGATATCACAAGTGAGAATTATCTGAGAATCTATAATCATAAATGGAAAGCAACTATAATCTGACAGCAGATTGCAAGCAGAAACCAAGCAGAGCTTGCTGACATAACCTGATGGCAGATTGGCAGCAAAAACTGAGCAAGATCTATCTTATATATTTATAATATTTATATATACTGGTGTGAAAACTGGAAACAATACAGTTTTATTGTTAAAATATTATTGATTAGTTTCACATTTCAAAATACACATGAGAAAGTTATAATAGTAAAAAAAATATTCGAAGATTCAGAAAGCACACTTCGAAAGAGTTTGGGAATCTAGGAGATTTGTTTATTTGATTTACATGTGCCAATTTTTACCTCGGATCTACAATAGAGTTTTAAGCCTTAAGTCATAGGAAATAGACAAATCATAGTCGATTATTCTCCTCGAATTCGACTGTAATTGGTCAATTTCTTATGGCTTAAGGCTTAAATCACTTATTGTAGATCCAGAGTTATAGGACTCCTGAGCGTTTCCTTTTTACGAAAAACAAATCTCTTGTGGCAGGACCGTATATGAAAATGACAGATCTTGCTTGATTTCTGCTGCCAATCAGCTGTCAGTTTATGTCAGCAGGCTCTGCTCGGTTTCAGCTCGCAATCTACTATCAGGTTATGCAGCAGACTCTGTTCAGCTTTTGTCACCAATTTGCTGGCATAGCATGTTAGCAGGCTTTATCATATTTTTGATAGCAGTTTGCTGACATTGCCTTATAGTATAAACTCTGTGTACAATTTGTTGTCTTTCTGCAATCAAAAATTAGTAGCAGACTTTGCTATCAGAATATAGTAACTTTCTATTAAATTATCTTAATTTCATCAATGTATTTAAAAAATAATATATTTAATTTCATCAGTAATGTATTTAAAAAATAATGTACTAAATTGGCATACAATATGCATCAAAATAATTAAATACATATATCATATATATGTTTACACATATTTAGATAAAATATGTGCCAAAATTAAGATAACTCAATAGAAAGCTACTAGTTAGTACTCATATCAAATGTATAATGTAAACTAGAGTATAAACGCAGTGCAAATTGCAGAAGTGTACGGGATTAAAAAACCAGAGAAATGGAGGTTAGTATTGATATTTCTTATTAAAGAGGCTATAATTAAATTTTGACATATTATAATTTTTTATCACACACACACACACACACACACACACACACACACACACACACACAATTCTTATATAATTATAATAATTTATTTCATATTACTACTAGCTTATTAATTAACAACATAATATATTAGAGCAAAATTATATATTTGTGTGTGTATGTTTGTGTGCGTGTGTGTGTGTGTGTGTGTGTGTGTGTACATATGTATATGTGCATCTGCGACAGAGAGAGAGAGAGGGAGGAAGAGAGAGACTAAATAGATTATTTTATAATTTAAATGATTCATTTTATTTAAATGTTTGCAGAATAATAGCTTATGATGTTCCTATTAGTAACTTGCTGTCAAATGACAAGCTCTGCTGATAGATTAAAGCTTAACTTAGCTTAAGTGTTGATATAGATACTATTGATATTAATCTACCATAATATTCTGCTGAAACGAATGAACAAACATTTGCTAGCATATTGCTAATATCATATATACTACAGAGTGGGGCATTTTAATCGTCCTAGGCGAATATCTCAGAAACTAAGAGAGATACAGGAAAAAGTTTTATATGAAAGTTGTAGGTAAGGGAAAGAAGATGGAAATAACGGATTTTGGATAGGTCAAAGTCATTGAAGGTTATAACTCTTATTTTCATTTTTACGTAAAAATGAATTCTTAGTGCAAAAATGAAAATAATAGGTATGATTTCCAATGACTTTGATCTTGATAAATGTTATCCAGGACATGATTCTGAACAACATTCAAGAGGTTTTAGCCATCGATCAGACACCTTGCGTAATGCTAATACCGGCGGTATTGTAACTTTTAAACCTTATAACTCGAAAAGTACTTAATGAAAAATAACTTTATTATAGTGTTTTAGAAAGCTCTTGACACCAGCTATTAAATTTTTGACAATCTGGCATAAAAGATGTGATCAGTGAATAGATCTTTTTAAACCCTACAACTTTTGTCTAAAACATTTTTCTCAAAAATGCATATTTTCTGAAATATTCAGGCGGCCCGGGACTTTTGACGGACCCTGTATATATGTATATATTTACTATACATAGATAGATGAATGTTCAGCTGGTGGGGATAGTGGAGCAGAAGAAGATGAAGAAGCAGCTTCGACACATGGTTCTAAAACTGATAGTAGCAGTAGTAGTATAAGTGGTAGTAGTACAACAACAGATAGCGAACAAGATAGCGCAGAAGATCATGCCATGAGCAGTAGTGAAAGCCATAGTTCTGCAGAGGAAGATGAAGAGGAAAATGAAAATGCAGAATTCATAGTAAACATTGAGAACCCCGATGCTTTGGTAAGATTTATATCTGGTTTTATATTTGTATTTAAAGGGAAGAGCGCAATTAGCGTAAATTAGTAATAGAAATCATGGGCAAAGTTATTTGTCTTTATGTTTTTTTTCTCATCATTGCGTCAAAATTTTTGCATTATTTTTTTTCTATGATTCTATGATTCTTTGGTCGATTTTTTTCTAAACAAATTATTTCTCGAATTTTAATAATTTAGAAAATCACTTTTTTGCAAATGATTGCTAATAGCGTTTAATGAACACATTTTTTAAAAATAGGACGATTAAATTATGTTTTATTTATTTCTGAGATGCACACAAGTTATGTATATTGTAAGTATACTAAACTACGTACTATTTGACTAAACAAGTTAATCACTATGATTATAAATTGTTAATAAAAATATTAAAAATATCAATTATAATAAATTTCAAACAAGCAATAAACAATAAAATATGAATACCACCCTAAATATTCTTTCCAATTTTATTTTGCCTGTACCAAAAATACATAATGTATTAAAGTTATATATATATATATGTGTATATATATATATATATATTTATATTAGCACACAAGTTATGTTTGTAAGTACTAAATTATATACTGTTTGACTAAACAAGTTTATCTCACTATAATTATAAATTGTTAACAAAAATGTTGGAAATATCAATAATAATCAACTTCAAACAAACAAAAAACTATGTGAAAATTGCTACTGGAACTATTGGTTTTTGAAAATTAATAAAACGTCGTGCTAACTTTACAGACACAAACTTTTGTTTGTGATATTTGTGTGGATAGTTTGAGGATGCATTGTCTGCTTTGATCCGTGTAAGGATGAGAAGTTTAACTTTCTTTTTATATAGTTCAAAATAAATAAGAAATATTTATTTTTAATAAAAAAATGTTGACTTTTCTATAATTTTTAACTTATTAAAATTTTTACATTAGCTTATTAAAATAAGTATACAGTTATTATTATAATTTGTTAGTATTTTAATTTTTAATTTTAATAAATTGATTTTTAGAGGTGGGAAACTTGCATTGCTGCCAGTATCAAAGTAAAACTACCGCAGGATCTTTGTGAACATTTTAGTATCTTCAAGGAGATGCTAGATTATCCACGTTTCTGGAATGAGTGGCTTTCTGAAAGTCAACGAGAAACATTGTACAATCTTCTGCCTACTTTTCCAAAAGACTCCAATATAGAAGCACAATTGGATAAATCGCTGCAAATGTTGTTTAATAGAGAAAACGACAGGTAGTAATTATTTTTCAAAAGATTTTTCACAAAATGAGAATAATAGACTGGGTTCTGAAATTGATTTAATTAGAGCATTTTAAATAAAATGTATTATAGATTTGGTGTAACAGCATTAGACACGTTTCATAATCATCTTTCTTCTGGTCATTATCGTCCCGATATTAAAAGAATACGTGGTTTAGTTCGTAAAGCGCAAAAAAAAAGATCGTTGTTTGAAGAACGGAAACGGTCATATGAATTAGCAAGTCAGCTGCTAAAATCGCGAGAAAGTTTATTATCAAATGCATATAGACAAGGTTTCAATCAACCAGTAAATCGCGCAGTGTCTAAATTTCATTGGCGCAAATCAAAACCAATAATGGGTGAGTGTCTGCTTTATATCTAATATGACTGTTTATATTGCTCACATACTTAGATCATTTGGCAGAAAAATATATAATGACTGTAGAATATTATTAATATGAAAATAAATAATATAGTTGAAGAAAAGACTCAGTTGCGTTATTTGGAGGAGCTAAACGCAGTTCGGACAGAACTTAGAACCAGCACAAGATTGTCTGCTGATACAACATCTGAAAACGAAGAAAATTATCCTCATTATCAAATGACTGGAGCTAAACAAAAGAGGAAACGGCGTTTTACTATGAATCTTCAAGGATTGTCAGTTAAAGGCCTACAGCTCAGTCATGAAGACGATACAATTCGACCTGTATTTTCCACCTTGCAGCGAATGGAATACAGTTCTAGTAGAGCATTGTTCGTACGTGAACAAACGGAAGAGACCTACCGAGCTATGTTAATTGCACATAAAAAACGACGTGCCCGTCGTGACGTATGTATAATACTTTATTATTTTGTTACAATTACTTATTTAAGCTAAAGATGTGCAAACTATTCGAATACGAATTGAATCGAATTTGAATCAGTATGATTCGAACATGAACTATTCGAAAATTTCGAATTGAAGCCGGTATTTATATTCCAAAATTTACTGCTAGTACTGAAAATCTATAGTTTACATCACGTGCACTATAGATTTTCGATACTGGCAGTAAATTTTGGAACAGCCTGTAATTGGCCAATTCGCTTACTGCTTACTATCTTATGTTTTTGTGTGTGCTATTGGTTCTTAAATAGTAAACGTACATGCAAGAGTCGTAAATTTATTTGATAAAGTAAGTTATTGAAATTTTTTTAACCTTTATTAACAGATATATGAAATTTAGTTTGTATTAACTCGGGAAATCCTACATTTCGAAAGAAAAACTTGATGTGTCATTATTGATAGAAGTTACGTTATGAGAAACGTATTTGTAGATTGAGAATATTATTGAGAATAATTTTAGTAAATGTTTTAGCAAATGTTTTTTAATAAATGATTCGAATTCGATTCGGATTCGAATAAAAAATTTGGATTTGATTCGATTTGATTCAAAGCCAAAAAACCTTGATTCGCATATCTCTAATTTAAGCAATACTAATTAAACTATGTATACATAGCTTCATCCAGAATTGAACACTCAAGGAATTGCGCTTGCCGATCTCACACAAAGATCACAAATTGGTCAGAAGCAGAAACTTACAATTGGCAATTCTATGAAAGTTACATCTGCTAAGAAGAAGATTAAATTGGAACAAAATTCGTTATGTCCGCCCGTACCAAAATTGACAAATTCCAATTCTGTGAAACACGAAAGCGATAACAGTGATTACTCCCATACAACGGACGACAATAGACAACCTAATATCGTAGACATAGATTACAATAAAATGACAACACCTATTAAATCGGAACCTATTGAGGCATATGAAGCATTTCAAGTAACCAAAAAGAAAATGTAATTATGTAATTAGCTGTACATGCATGAGATAAAAATAAAATATAGGATTGCTTTGATGCGTTTCTTTCGTGTTTCTCATTTATAGCAGCCCAGTAACTCAAAAGGGTATCAAACCAACAGTAGCCAATTTACCAGAGATAAAAAAAGAAGTCGAAGATATAGAATATAACAAAGTTAAAACCGAATTAAGTTTGGGCGTAAGCGAAGATGTACTGGCTGAAACTGAAGAAGAAGAGGAAAATGAATCGAAAAAAGAGCTTGACTTAGACAGTATTGATATGATGCAATTACCAATTCAACTTGATGATGGAATTGATATACTTGACGATGTTAAGTAAGTTTACTACATTATGTATATAGTAGACAATGATTCTCTAATCAATTAATAATTAAAATATTTAAATCGGGGATTTGATATTATAGGTGCGAAGATGAAAGAGTTATATCAATACCAGAAACGAAAATGATTGTATCATCCAGTGAAGATATAAATGTTAACAACGGGACGGAATTGATGCAAGAGACGCACACATGTTTTTTCTCTCTGCTGAGAGACGCTTTTACTTCTAAGGGAGAGTACCGAATGAGTGCGACAGAAATGAAGGACGCAATAATGCAATGGCAAAGCAATCCTATTTCACCTTTGAATGACTGGTAATATCAAATAAGACTTCTTCGCGTTGTGCGCGATCGTAAGTAACATTTTTTAATAAATTGATGTCGCAGGTATTCTTTGGTACCTTCATGGCCTACTTTAGTACCATTAGCTCTCGGATTTCTTGCTGGCGAATTAATATATTCTCAAGATTTAGATCAGCGACAAGAACAAGATCAGGAACTCGTACCTTATCTGGAAAATAAGGGTCAAGGCATATATGCATGGATTGGTGCTGGGAGAGACTCTGATGCCCGATTACAGGACTTGTGTACAAAATTTCTTATGTATAAGTAAGAATTGTAACAAGCACTAATTTTTTGAATCTTCGATTGCTATATATTATAAGTTGTTATATTTGAATTAAATATGTGCATTTTTTTTATTTAATCAATTCATTTGCTCATTTGCTCGTTTATTTGTATATCTCCTTAAATTCTCTTGATTGTTTTTTGCAACAAATCGTAAATTAAACAGCATTAATAGAAAAATTATTAATAGAAAAATTATTAATAGAAAAATATTTAATAATTATACTTTTATAATTATAATTTTAGAGACATGTTGACACCACCATATACTCAAACTATTAGTACTGTGATATCTACAAAATCGCAGCAGTCTCAACTATCTTCTAATAATAACAATATGAGCAATAACACAATCGTTACAAGTGGAATTCTGCAAAGTGGTAGAAGCGGAAGTCCCGCACTAGAATCTACCAATATGGATACTAGTTCCACTGGTACTGACTGGGAACCACCTCGGCCGCTATTTCCTACAGAATGGAAAGTTCGTCCGTCCACAATAGAGGAACGTGAGGAATTCCGAAGACAGGAGCGTATGCGTTATACTGCACCTCATAAGGCGTTTACTTATCGCATGCACGGTTACGCGTCCGTAGTCGGTCCTGTCAAAGGAATTTATCAGCATAATGTTGGTATGTTCAACTCATGCTTTGTAATACGAGTGCTAGATTCGAATTTCCAAAAGCTTATTATAAATCATGTTGTGACAAATATTAATATACACTAACATGTACGCGATATATAAGCAATCGCATAATGTATCCTACTGATTGTGTACAAAATACAATATAGTACAAAACAATACAATATAATATAAATGCATAAGAAAATGCTATTAAAACTAAAACATTTTAGAATTTGAATTTGAAATAAGACCGAGAACAAAATAATAAGTAAATCTAATTAACTATGAAGAATTCTTATTTTTGATCAAAGCAAATCTTAAATGCTTTAATGATTTACTGTAAATTTGTATACATTTTCGATTCTACAAACAGCGCGCCGAATTGTTTCTCTATACTTGGTAACACATTCATGTATCAGAATAGAACCAGAATAATATAGAATAATATAGTAATATACCAGAAATATTTAGTAATATCACATACTAAATTGTGCAAGCAATTTAATAATTTCTGATGCTAACAGTTTAGTAAGAATATTCTAGTAAGAATATTCATTATTAGATGTTAATAATCATCTGAAAAATGCTGATAATTTTATTGCGAAAAATATTACCCAAATCTCATGCACGGAATGCATAAGATCTGTGTTCGATTCTCGGCCGAGATAATATTTTTTGTAATAAAATTAGCAGTTTTTCAGATAATTATTATTATTAACATCGAATAATGAATATTCTTACTAGATATTTGTTAGCATCAGAAATGATCTCGGAAATTATTAAATTGCTTGTACAATTTAGATGTAAAACATTTTGATTTACATTATACATTATGTTGTGAAAAAATTTCGGTAAAAATATCAATTAGGGGAGTCCCAATGACTTTGACCTTAACATATGTTGTCAAAGTCATGACCCTGAGTAACCTCCAAAAGATTTTAGCCGTCGCTCGTTATTCATTAAAAAATTATTAACAGTCAAAGTTAGTTATTATTTCCTGCCTTAGGTATGAAGAGTCAGATAACTTTACAGAGAGGTATGAGGTGGATGAATTCAAGGAATACAACTTTCCACGCAAAAAGACTTACTCCACATTTTCCTCTGCCAAGGGGCGCGCGATTTTCCACGTGAAGTGACTTTCATTCCATCTTCCCCCTGCTTCAGGGGCAGGACTTCCACGCGAAGCTACTCCCACCCTATCTCTCCCCCCCTTCTACGGGGCAATGTTTGTGTTATGTTTTTAAAACGTAAACATAGAAATCTCATTGTTCTTAGTAGTGTTCAGTCTTTGAAGATAGCCACATTTATATGATCTTACATTATGTGTACTAATATTCATCCTCGTCTTCATTCGAAATTGGTGAATTTTTCCATTTTTTTCTTCATTTCACAATATCATTTCTGTGAATGAAGTTGCACAAATTTTTCTCAAGAAGATAAAAATAATTCCATCATCAACATCAATGCCACCTACTCGATGTGGATTGCTAATGAAAGTCGAAAAACATTCTGCGTTGAAATTGAAATGGATATGGTTTTTCGTCTCAACATAAAAAAAAAATAAAGGAATCAAGTGTTGTTGCAAAATGATTAATCCAAAGCAATTTCGCATGGGAGTCATAGGCCCTAAGCAGGGGGGAGGTGGGATGGGAGTCATTTCGCGTGGAAAGCCATTTCATAAGCAAGAAGGGGTATAGAATAGTTTTTGATATAGTTTTTATAATTTTATAGTTTTTATAGTTTTTTAAATAGTTTTTTAATATTATATATATAGCAGAACTAAGACGTTATTTTTTTCAAACTTTTTTGTTAATAACTTTTTAACGAATAACGAACGATGGCTAAAACCTGTTGAAGGTCACTCAGGTTCATGACCTTGACGACATATGTCAAGGTTAAGGTCATTGGGACTGGGTCCCCCCAATCGATACTTTTTTTTATCAAAAATATAATTTTATATAAAAATATTCTTAATTAAGAAAAAATATTTTCTGTTAATTAAGAATATTTTTATATAAAATTATATAAAAATCAGTACTTCCAGTTTTTTAAAGAGAAAAACTAAATATTTTATTTTTCGTGAACTTTTTTAATCATTACAGAGTGTATTATTACAGAAAAATAAGATTAATTTATATTAATTATATTAAGCTTCAGGACAAGCTAAAGCACGAGGACATTCGTTGTTGGTGCCGGATCGTCCAAACTTTGTAACAATTTTAGCGTTAGTTAGAGATGCTACTGCTCGACTTCCTAATGGTGAAGGGACTCGAGCTGACATTTGTCAATTATTAAAAGATTCGCAATATATCATAGAACAAGATAATGACGAAAAGGAGGGATATCTCCATTCTGTGGTATCAGGAGCGCTTGATAGGTTACATTACGAGGCAGATCCTTGTGTTAGATATTATCCTCGTCGGAAGGAATGGCTTTATCTTCATCGAGGACGATCTGAATCTGAATTTGGTTTGTTATTTATTATTTCAATTAATTTATACATTATTAATTGTATTTTTACATCATTTATTATTGCAACTCGAAATTTCTGAAGCATTCGCAATTCTAATTTGCTTATGTGATTGTGTGAAGATATTTTGTATCTTTTATAGAAATGGTTCATCAACAATTACAAGGTATTGCAAAGAATAAGAAAAACGTTGGTAATACATCACGAAATAAAGTAGTACAACCAACTCTCAAATCAGCCAATATAAATAAGGAACAATCTTCAAATACTAAGGAAGTTATTGTCAAAAAAGAAAGGCGAATGACAACTATACCTACGCAACCTGTTATTCCCAAGTGAGAATGTCATATTTATTTGAAAACTATAATAGTGTGTAATACTAATAATAGTATTTTAGAGAAATAAACTGTATTTATTTAATTTCTCATAGGAAAGAGCAGCATAAAACCGAAGAGAAAAGTGTCTCTGACCATCCTGTTTGTACTGAACATTCCGTTAATACTATTAATACTAATGTAGAACTAGCAGTTAGCACAATAACGTCAGCAATTTCTACCGTTGAAACTCCTGTTTCTGTTGCATCGATTGTAACTTCTTCGGCTACTATCACAAATGTAGTAAGCACAGAACGAGATAACATTGCAATGGACACAAAATCACAACTTGCTCCAATAACGATGGTAAAGAAAGCATCTACTATTGGAGGAAAATCAATCGCTGTACTCAAAACAAATGCCGCTCAAAGTCTATTACAATCGAATCAACATAATTATTCGCATCACCAAATTCAAGTATCGACATCTGCTGGTCTGCAAACTATTCGTCTGTCTGGACACTCTGTGTTGCAATCTGCACAGCAATCTGCTTCAATTAGTAATAATTCTAACGTAGTAAACGGAAATACTACAAATTTAACGACGATACTACCATCTACAAAAGCACAAAATCAGCAGCAACAGCAATCAACTATAGTAACAAGTCAAGCAGGGAAAAGTATTTTACAAGCTACCAATATAAAACAACAACAATCACAACAACAGCAACAACAACAACATGTATTACCAGGCAAAACTCTTTTGGCATCACAGATTAAATTAGTTAGTTCGAGTCAAATTAAATCATTACTCACGAGCCATGGTCTTCAAGGTCAAACTATATTTATCAAACAATCCTCACCGTCGAATACTCAATCTCAACAGCAACAATTACAGCAACAACAACAACTGAAGGTATCTTTGCAAACAATTTATTATATTTATTATTTGCTTTTATTTAAATTTTATTCTGATCTCAGCAACAACAACTCCAACAACGAGTCACAGCTAACCAACAGCAATCTATACAACAAACTCCAGGAATGCAACGCATAATTGCACAAATCGGAGGAAAACCAATTGCTGTGCAAATACAACAATCACCTCATCATCAGCAACAGCAGCAACAGCAACAGCAGCAGCAGCAACAACAACAACAACAACAACAAAAGATACTTGCAAAAGTTTTAACAAATAATAGTGGGGGACAAATAATCTCTGTTGAAAGTCTACTAGCACAAAAAGGATTAAAATTGGCTACTACTACTACTACTGGTCACACTAATCAACTTAATAGGCAGGGTAAGCAGGTCATACAGGCTCAGTACCAAGTAAGTATACTTTACGTAATAGATTTATTTATATATATATTATTTATTGATAAGAATGAAACTTTTTGATTACAACAGGATTAATAGTATTGAAAATATAATATTAATAAAATGAAAATATTAAAAATAATCTTGAAAGAATAAAATACATAATTAGGTCGACATATAATAAAATTAAATTTCTACCACACTTTTAATCTTTGAACAAAATCCTTCATCAATGTACAAAACATATTTGTATGTAAAAAAACAATTATCGAAAATTTCTTTCTATTCCTAAGAACATTAAGGTAAAAATTTCATCAAGAAATAGAATTATAATGCATTTGATTAAGGTGGTTCTTTAGTAAATCGAATTACCATAGAAATGTCTAATTTTTTTATATAATGAAGTTGAAATACCAAAATTGACGTGTGTAAAATTCTACGATAGGTTAATGATGAAATAAGAGAAACGAATGACTTGAGTTTTGGACAGAATGTTTATAACAAAATTGTCTTCTTCAAAATCGCGACCTCTTTTTTAAAACAACGCCATTTTGTCGAAAATTATTTTATCAAAAAATCCGCACGCTTAACTGAAATTACACTCATATACTTTAAAATAAAAAAAAAAAATTGTATTTCGGAGCTCCCGTTCAGACGCCACACGAGCGTCCACCCATGTTTTTCCAGACAAGGTGCACATCAACGAGCACTTAGGCTACAAATATTAATATTATTTAATGAATTTTTTTTAATAACTTCGTAAATGTATGTACTTTGAATATATAAAGACAATAATTCATACAGGCTATTAGTTTTCACAAAAACAATTCACGAAAATAGCTTTTTTTCGGCCATTCCCCTTTAAATAAGAATAAAATGATACCATTCGAATAGTGTTTCCGAACATGTCTTTATACGAATATTTACAGGTGGTGCCACAAGCGCAAGCATCTTCTAGTCAATCAAAAATAATAGCAGTCAGCACACAACACCAACAATCTCAGCCTCAACAGGCTCAAACTGTTCGAATGGTTACCGCTCAGCTTGCGGGAAAACCTATTGTATTAGCAAGCAGTAATAAAAACGTTGGAGTTGCAGTAAGCACCAGTGGTGGGAACGTAGTATTAGGCAAGCAGCCCACCTCTCAGCAACAGCACCAACAACAAACGCAGCAACCAATTATTTTGCCGAGTCAACTACTTAACATCAAAACATTACATGGACTCAAAGTGATTCCCACTCCTACCGGATTAAAAACCGCAGGTGGTGCCGTATACGCTCGAGTTATCGCCCCTACAACGATTGCCTCTACGCAGGCTGGATCAAATCAACAGCAGACTCTTTAAACACAAAAACCAAGAAATACTTCGTACAGCACACCTTAACAGAATTAATATTATTTACATATATTTATACTTAATTTGCTTGGCACTGTTTCTTTTATACACGCACACACGCGCGCGCATGCGTACACATCTACACATATCTAGTGCTTTCCAATTGTGAAATCATTAGACCCTTTCGTGCACATGGTAAGGCCGGAATCAGACTAAGCATTAAAGATTGAGGTTGAAGATTGAAAGATTGAAATTTGACCAATCAAAACAATAGGAATTAAAATTCCTTTGCCCTCATTGGTCAAATTTTAATCTTCAATCTTCGATTTCAATCTTCCATGCGTAGTCTGATTCCGGCCTAACACAAGTTGCGTTCGAATTGCTGTAATCGTCGACACAACACTACACTCAACCTGAGGGCTACTAGTAAGTAGTCGGTCGTGTAAGTTTGTGTTTTTAGTGACAATTATATATTACTAATCGCGGCGATTATAAATTGGGTAGCCGGCAATTTTCCTTCTTTTTCATTACAGACGAAAAAAAGCTACATTTAGTCTAACTATTCGAAACTGTGCACAGCGTATACATTCTGTTCCAATAGAATCGTGTACAATGCACATTCATTACAATGTACTACACTTTGTACATTCGTATGTCAAGATGTGTTAAGCAACTGAAAAGCGCCCAATGTACACGTATACATACAAGGTGTTCCAGATTTCGTGTGAAATTCCTCGTTATAGTATATTCCTGAGATTATAAATCGAGATAAAAATCTTGGTACCAAAACGTTGAGGAGTAGTTTTTAAATGAGAAGATTTTAAAGTTAAACTGTCCAAAATTCACACGTCCAGGCATGGCATATTGCACAGTAATAAAGATGTTTTCAAGCATTAGTTCTATTCTTTTTTAAACACCTTTACTACTATAAGTATTGTGCCTGAACGCGCGAATTTCGGACAGTTTAACTGGCTAACTTTAAAAACCTTTCTCATTTAAAAACTATTGTAGCCTCGACATTTTGATATTAAGATTTTCGTTTTGAAATGATTCAGGAATCAGTTAACAGATGTCACGCAAAATCTGGGACATCGTGTATATAAAAAAAGTGAGTTAATATAAGTTATGAAGAAAAAAAATATTATATGATTACACTGATTACTTAAATTCAATAACAATCTGTAACATTTTCATCGAATCAAAAACAAAATGTAGAAAAAATGTGTAACGAAAATACATGCGAGTTCACTCGCAATTAAATATTAATATTATTAAATCGAAATTTTCTTTCTTGTGTGTACTTATGTTATTAAATTTGGACTATAACCCAGATAAAAATAATATAAATGTATCATTTACGTCCAAATAAGTAATTTTTCTAGATATTTGTTCGCGATATAATGTGATCTCGAAAATACTTATGATATAAATATCTTATATTTTTAATAGAAAGCATATGCCGGATTTTTAAAAATCATCAAATAAAATTAATTGAATAATTTCGATTTATTTATATAAATTCTACATGACGCGCGCGCGCCCCCA